GGGGGATGGGGAGGAACCGAGGGGGAGGGATGGATTGGAGAAGGAGGTGTGTGGGTCGGCTACCCCAAAAGTAGTTTCTGCCTGGTCGTTTGATGGGGGTGGTGGGGCCACCACGCCCCTCATGCTAAGCCACCCTCTTTCACGTCGTTCCGCTGTAAGTATATGTGTATATCTCTACACACTCTCTTTTTCTATTTTTCTCTCTCGTTTCTCCCTTTTTCGAGCGGCTCGCTAGTTTTCTCCTTTCTCGCGGCGAGGGTGGTATTGTGCTGGTGGAGGGTTGGACATCGACGACATTCCACGTACGGCGCCCGTTATATACGTTTCTTTGATAAGATTGGGAAAAGGCACGCCGCTCTTCGTTGCGAAACGATGCCCGTTTTATAGGTTAAAAAGCACGTGGTCGTTGATCATATTTCTGCAGGGTTGGTTATCTCTCGATTTATTCCTAACATTTGAAGAAGTAGAAATCGTTCGATCGTGGTTTCGTTCGTCGAGAAAGAAACGGACGCCACGTATGTTTCTATCGTATTGTAGGTGCATGATTAAAAATTCAAGGTTGTTGTAATTATTGATTACGTATCGGCCGTTTGCATTTTTTACGAATGTTTTCTTTGAACATAGGAATCAAACGTTACGTTCTACGCGATTATCCCGTAACAGTAGTACAGTTGTCTAGAAAAACGTTCGGCAATACTTTCGGCCAGGCTTCAATGGCCATTCTTAATTACATTCATGAAAGAACTCTTTCGATGGCTGATATAAAACGTGAAACAGAGTCGAGAGCGTAAAGAGGATTTATGTAAACAAAAAAGGCGTCAAAGTATGATGAGCACACTCAAGAGGATGAGTCGTTTTAATGGTTCTATATTCTTTATGAGTCGTGCTAAGTATACACGCGTGTTCTCGCGCAGACACATGGTTGCGCATGTACGCGTAGGTCAGACGAAGGTACAGAGAAAAATGTACGGGGTAGCGGAGAGCGAGCGACAGGGGATGAAGAGAGAAAAAGAGGCAAGGCTTGTAGTAGAGTTTATGGGCAATGGCTGACGAGGCAGTGAAAAAGTACTAAAACCAAGAGGAGCAGATAAACGCTATGTTAAGCAGACCGTTTTACCAGCCATTTAATATAATCGGCTCTCTCGCGGAGCTCGGATAACTTCGGATCAGGACCGTACCAACTCAGATTTCTCCCCATTCGATATTTTTTCTCTCTCTCTTTTATCCACAACTGATAAACGTCGTACCAGCTTGTACCGACATTACCAATGTTACATTCGATTGTTATTGTAGTCGCCGACCGATTCGATCTTTTCCCTATCTTTCAGCTACTACAAACGCATGGCTCATCGAAACAAAAAATGAATCGTCTCTCTCTCTCTCTCTCTCTCTCTCTGACCGGTTGAGGATGAACTATATTGTTTTTAATGGTTTTTGTTCATTTGAATATCTGGTATCGTGACTCATAGTTTCGTTGCGTTAGTCTCGTAGTAACGATTTGTCACGGTCATCCGAAATAGCTATTCTTCGAAACGTGGAGATCTTTGAAAACCTGTTTTGGACGACTCCGTTTAGGCCGATTTCCCATGGGGCGTACGAAGATCCCGAAGGGTAGCAGAAAGAAAAAGAGAAAGATACAGAGTGGAAGGGGAAATAGGGGAGGGAGCTGAAAATCCGCGGGATTTCTCGAACCTGTCTTTCTACCAACCTCTAATCCGTTTTTTCTTCTTCTTCGACGTTCAGAGACCTTTCCTTCGGATAGTTCCTCACAGCGGTGGTATAATCGTCGACGCCACATACCGTTGCCACCTAAAAATATTCTCGCCGCTATCGACGTGAATCCAACGCGAGAGATACAGTAATTTTCGGAGGGCGATATCCTTTTAAAAAATGCTTCCACTCTTTTGTCAAATTTGTAATACGATTGGTGCGAGGGTATCGCGTAAAATGAAATGTGAACGATGAATCGGGACGACAAATCATTCTACCTACGTCCTATTATATTGGGCTAAATTTCAAAATAGCAAATAGTTAATTCCTACGAACGGTCGCGTGTGGCCGTGTAATTAATCAAAGACCGGTCGCTATCGATTGCTAGCTTGGTTGTCCGATTGGCGGTCAACTTTATTTATTGTTTGTCAGCGCGCGTAACGTACGCGAGTTTGGAAATACAACTTGACTGCAATCGGTTATGCAGCTCTGCCTCTCTCTACCACCCCTGTCTCGCTGTCAACTCTTTCCCTATCTCTTTCGATTTATCGTCATTTAATTAAACCGACACGGAGACTGCGTCGCATCGAAGCGCGGCACCGCGTTACTCTCGATTCTCCGTATTTCTGAAACGACGCTGTCGCGGTCGCGTTCTCTCGTAACAATTAAAAATCCATATTCAATTTGGACGCTTTCCAGTAGTAATTCGGTTTTATTTCGCACAGCCATGCTTTAAGTGTTTTAGCAAGAGCACCTTTGGGCCAGAGTGTCACTGTTCCTGCGAAATGCTTACTATACGTCTCCGCGATTGACGAAACTGCGTAGATTTTTCGACGAATCTTCTGTCTACGAATAAAGATATTCCTTTATGTACATATGAATGGTTTAATGGTAAAAGATAGCCGTTCAATTATTAACTTCTTAACGCGATACGAGCGAAGCTTACACAGTGGCAATATACGCATTCAATTCTATCGATAGGTTCGAAAAGTAATTTAACGGGCCACTCTACAATTTTCCTAATGAACATCGTGTTCTGATAAGAGTAAACTGTATGTTGTACGTTAATTAGACAGCGCGCACTTTAATTAAGGCTTGCGCAACGTTCCGCGTATTTGTTTGTCTCACGCGATTCTACACGCTATGCTATGGTGATTTAAGCGTAGTTCTCTTTTTCTTTTGCGCATGAAAATTTGTTGTATTTGCACATTTCCCTTTATTACGATCGTGTATCTGGTAAAAATTCTCGCAATCTTCCGGCTATCGTATTTGTCGAAAGATTTATTCCAAGTTTGCCAAGATAAGATGAAATCTCTTCTATCCCGATACGATTGCGATCTATTATTACGATTATCAACGTTCGTATTAACGATTCGTAATGTTCTTCGTCGCAGAGACAGCCGCTAAATGAAGCATCGCATTTGAAGAATTAATAACGTACGTAATTTACTCGTTTGACGTAATATGCGTCGTACATTATGATTTAACGCGTTATTCCCTGTAATCTGATTTACGGAGGTTATATCGCGGATCGGGATTAAAATATTCCCGCGTTTGCGCGATTTCTGTTATCCGATCGCAATCCGTTTTGTAATTCGAACGGAGAAATTTTCCGGCGAGCGAAACAGACAGACTCTCTAATTAGTTTGATCGTCCGCTTCGTTCAGATTTTTCTGTCTGCCCGAGAACGTATGCAGGTATCGATTATCACGCCGAAGAACTAAATAAATCGGCGGAATCGGTTGTGTTTCGATCGACGAGATTTGATCGTTGGTGCCATAGTTGGCGAAATATAGTAAGATAGCGTCGGTTTTCCAAGAGATGACGCTTCTCGTCCCGACCCCGGTTGGAATGTCGTTCCCCTAGCTTCGATTTCCTTTTCTTCTTCTTCCTCCTCCTCTTCTCTTTCGTTTGTCCTTTTCTTCTCCCTCTTCTTCATCCGCGGTCCCCGCATGCAGATGGGCTCCAGCAACCAAGGTGAACCGGCCATTCTGCTCTCTCACTCTCGCACTCCCTTTCTCTCTTTCTCTCTTTCTCTCGGGCACAAACTTCTTCGACTCGACTAACGAGATT